ACAGAATTATTGTGTTTTGTGTCATTTAGCCCTATATAGAAAAGGAATGCTTATTGTTAGGTTGAACCTGCGAAATAGAACATAAGTAATCGAAAGATGGCCGGTGCATTTCTCGGGTAAATATCAAATAACAACGTCATGTACAGTACCAAAAACACGATCTTTTGCAATGCAAGATAAGTTGTATACCCAATGTCAATATAGAAAAAAGAGTGTTTTAGTCGTGTCGCAAACTGAAATTGAAAAATCGCCATTGCTTTGACAAAAATAAGAGACGCAACTATTTTTCATCTCTAGAATGTTGATAACTCATTGTTGTCCCGTTAAGTTATACACGTACTAGTATTTTATTCGGGCTCTGTTAGTATATTTTGCATAACTGAACATTTTTGAGTAATGATAAAATATATTTAAGTTCTTACATTTTAAGGAATGTTACGACACTTCAAATTGTACTTTGAATTAATAATTGTGGAAACTTTAAAAACATTAGATATTATTTGAAACATTTGGAGAAATATAAATCTTTAAAAAAAATGAGTTCAAAGAACTTTGAACATGCAGCATACAATCATGTCATTGGTAATCTTTTTGTACTAGCTGGGGAATTTGCAAACATTATTTACAAAAGCATAGAATAGTTATTATGAATAATGTAGCTGTAGTAAAATCATTGAATATGTTCATATTGTATTGATCACAGTAGTACAGGCATAATACATGCATCCAAGCAAATGTCAAAGGTATCATCATAAAAAACACGAACAATTAAATACAAGTTATTATATAAACAATGTTGTCAGCAATTGTCTCTGTGTATTTTATTTGAAACACGTACATGTATTCAGTGCAACATTTCAAAGGGGGAAAATAAGGTTCAAACGGTAAAAAATTCTAATTCTAACTACTCTCAAACAACTAAATAAGATTAACCTATAATAAAATTATAAATTGTCTTTTGTTTAAGGTTGATTTCTGTCTAAGATGGGATAAAACTAGAATATGATGACCAAAAACTTCACACAGAAACTACATATGACCTTCCGGAAGTCTTAATGTAGATTTTTGGAGTTTGGATATTCTGGTATACTGAATTGTTCATGACTTACAATCAATCTTAGTTGTAAGTTTTTTTTGTGAAACCGACTCCTGGTCCTGTTTTATTAAAAGGGATTGCCACTATTATGATGTTGAAACATGGAATTTCAATTTCTTTGCATTATACACATTAATAGAGGTCGGTCAATTTAAAACGTATCCTACCGTAACAGATACGTTGACGTATACGCATCTGGGGATATACTAAAATAATAGTATTCCGGTCGCGAATATAACGGTGTACACTTTTGAGCAACTGATTAATTTGCGTCAAATATTACACTAAGAAGATGTGGTATGAATGCCAATGAGACAAATTTCCACCAGAGACAAATGACGTAATATATAGAAAGTTATTTCTCTCTCTAAAGCATAAAAAAAACCAACAACAACCATAACGATGAAATATAAGAGCATACACCAATAACATGGGGACAAATTCTACTGCAAATACACAGCACGAGCAAAAAACCCTGCTACCAATATAAAAATAAGATGTATGATTACCAAACTGTTAATTTTTTTTAAAAACGTCTAAGATTCGGACTATAAAGTGTCTTTCTACAATTTCATTAATTGTTGAATTCATAGTGATATCTGAAGGAGTTGCACTTATTGTATGTTACATTTGAGTAGGTAATTAAAAGTAAGTGAACGCTTTTGAAGGAGTTATGCTTATACTATTTTCGAACAGACGAACAGAAGAACAGATACATGCAGATTGAGTGATACCTATTCACTAAAATCTTGGAATAAACAGCACACATGTGACTATGTGATTCTATATTGTTGGACTCTACTGTTCAAGTTTCTTTTTTCTCAAGCCTGAATTAAACAGTAATAGAGTCACTCCCCCGTCTCACAATACACCACCATCGCCAGTGACAAAAATGTGTTTAATTGTTTTGAGTTCCCTTGCAATAAAGATTTGTGCTACGCTGCATACACATAAATCTCGGGATCGTTTTTGTTGTTGGTACCAACAACAAAATACGATCCCGAGATTTATTTTCAGATGTGTAGACGTCAACGTATCTGATATTTTTCATACGTTTTAAATTGACAGACCTTCAATGTACATAAACAGAATATTCATGGGTAATTGCAATAAAATTTACGACTTTTGACTATTGTTATTTATAAATATTGTTTGTAATATGCCATATGTATATGTATTTAAATACATAGATGTGCCGTAAAAAATAAATAATTTGAATTTAACCAATATAATTTCATATTTTATCTGCACTGGGTTCATGATATCGCACTCATTCGTATTTTCTTGACAATTTGGATATGCGTCATGTTTTTTTTTTAATTTTAATGATTGAACCTATGGTCAAGTTGTAGCGTTGATTAGTGTTTACTTGATACTACCATCCTCTTTCCCTTGAAATATGACCTACCGAATTAGACTTATTACCGGGTTTGTACTTACATGAGCAAATGACGGGGGCCACATGTGGAGCAGAATCTGCTTACCCAATCCGGATTACATGAGATCATCGCCGGTTTTGGTAGGGTTCCTGTTGTTCAGCCTTAAGTTTTCTATGTTATGTTTTGTGTAGTGTTGTTTGTCTATTAGTTTTTTCTCTCTCGGTTATTGCCATGGCATTGTTAGTTTGTGTTCGACTTGAATGTTTCTATGGTATCTTTCGCCTCTCATTCGGGTATTTGTTTCGGATCTTATTAGCATGAATGCTTCAACTGATGAAATATTAATTGCTTGTGGTACAAGTTGGAGTGTTTTGGTGCCATAAAACATTGGTAACAGTGCGTGGAGTAAGTCAGAAAATTGTTAGTCATTATCTATTTGTTCCGATGCTTATCTATACTTTCGAAATTCAAAACATTTGTAAATTCCTACTTTTACCAAGACACCTAGAACCGATAATAAGCATAGAGGGATACTAAGCGATTTTAAAGGCGACAAGACTTTGCGGTTCAGTTACTGTTATTATTATACATATATGTGTGTACTGTGATTGCGGAGTTTGCATTTGCCTTTACAAAAAATGTAATTATATGAATGAACGATTTTTATATCCATATTTATGAAAAACATTATGAAATTTCCCTTTTTTGATTTGTCTTTTCCCTTGACGTTACAAATCTTGAAAACAAAACTAACTTTAATCTAACTGCCTCTATTTTGACGGGTCTTTACATATCAATATCATAGTATCGTTATCAAAAGTGCGTATGGTAAAAACCAGCAAATTACATTTGAACAAATACTAAAATTGAGAATGGAAATGGGGAATATGTCAAAGAGACAACAACCCGACCAAAGAGCAGAAAACAGCCGAAGGCCACCAATGGGTCTTCAACACAGCGAGAAAATCCCACACCCGGAGGCGTGCTTCAGCTGGCCTCTCAACAAAAAATTGTACTAGTTCAGTGATAATGGACGTCATACTAAACTCCAAAACATATAAATGAACTAAAATAAAAAAATCATACAAAACTAACAAAGGCCAGAGGCTCCTGACTTGGGACAGGCGCAAAAATGCGGCGGGGTTAATAGATATAAGAAGATGTGGTATGAGTGCCAATGAGACAACTATTCATCCAAGTCAAAATTTATAAAAGTAAAACATGTTTTGTGAGATCTCAACCCTCCCCCTATACCTCTAGCCAATGTAGAAAAAACAAACACATAGCAATACGCACAGTAAGACTCAGTTTAAAAGAAGTCCGAGTCCGATGTCAGAATAGGTAACAAAAGAAACTAAGCAAAATGACATTGATGCATAAATTAACAAAGGACTACTAGCAGTTACTGACATGCCAGCTCCAGACCTCAATTAAACTGATTGAAAGATTATGTCTTCATCATATGAATCAAGCACAATCCCTCCCGTTAGGGGTTTAGTATCATACCATCATAAAATATATGAGAAGAACATAACCCGTATCATGCCAACAACTGGTTTTAGAATAAATGTGTTTATTTCCGATGCAAAGACCCTATGAGTGACTCAATATTTAAACCAAAATATGCAATCTTTAATGACCTGACAACAGTATCGTAACTATATCCCTTCTTAATAAGTCTGTTTGAGGGTTTGGTTAGCTTTTGAGGTGAATGCCAACATGTTTGTGCTTTGTAAAGAATATAACCATATTTGTTGATATTAATATTCAAATAAAATGGAAGAAAACGCTTTTGAATACTTATTAAACGGCTAATTATTTATATTTTGAATTGTAAGTCCATTGCAGAAGACTGTTTTATCTGCAATATCATCTTAATGGTATCTAGAAGTTAAATATGTATTTTTTGTTTTATTTAAGAAATATACATGTAAAACATGTTGTCTTTTTATGTATGCATTAGATGTCTATTTTAAGGATAGTGTCTCATAAGGTTCTTATGACTTTGTATATATATATATATACATAGATACTGTAATAGATGATGACATTTAATAAAATGAATTATCTTATCTTAATGTTACTCATGTTTGTTGATCGTTTTTGTTTTTAGTTTTTAGTATTTTATTTTTAAATGTATTGTATCAAAGTTTTGATGGCTTATTAAAACTTGCGTATAATGTTATATAAAATAATTTATTCTGTCAATGAACCCAGCTATACTTGGTATTCTACAGGGACTGAGAAAATCAATTTCAACGTGTATCTTGTAATTATGAGGTTGAATTGCCCAATTAGTCCTGATGTGATAAAATTTAACAATTGTCCATTTTCTATATGCGATAAACACGAATGTGAAGTATTAATAGTTTGTCAAATTTGTGAAATGTCATCTTTCAACAAGAATCAGCTGCTTTTCTTCTCTCGGGTAAGTTTATATTGGAAAATTTGAAGATACGTTAGATAAACAGAAAATATAAAGTTTATGTGTAGATTAATGTATTTTTTTTTCGTTTTTTTTTCAGTTAAGTCAAATACAAGAAGACAAAGTACGAGGTAAACATCTTAAATTACTAATTACTATTGTATGTATGAGAAAGGAGAACTTTGAATTACTAAAATTTTCTGTCATGCTTTATTTTTTTTTTTCAATTCACATAACCCAAAATGCAAGGAGCTTGTGCCTGTCTTGTCACCTGGAGGATATCATTATTCGTCCATCCGTCGTCCTTTGTTATTAAATCAGTTTCAGAATCTTTTAAACAATTGCGATTAGACCAGAGCTATTCCTACGATATTTTGTTTCGTGATCATTCCGATGATGACGCAGATCGAGTATAAATAGCCGTTGTTACAATGAAAATAAAAATGAAATAAAATAGGCATTACCGTATTTTAAATGCTATCCTTTCAATGACCAAACTCTTCATTGCCCCGATCCCGATTCGGAACAAAAATGTGAATAATTTGAACAGAGACTCAATGATCATCAATCAACATCAAAAGAAAATCAAATAAAACAACAGACACCCATCAACGAAGATTTTGACTTGGGACAGGCAAGTGAAAATTTTGCGGATATAAACTAAACACACCAGTAGAAAGCCGATGTTCAAATCTCAAACCTGAGGAAATCGCACTTAATCAGTTAACTTACAGATCAGACGACTATTCGGGTATCTTAACGTTTAAAACCGCGAAATGTGCATCTTGTTATTTGAGACACAGGCAGATCGTATCGGTACACTAGCTTGAGATGATGACCGTACAACTTATGTAGTGTCGATTTCAGTCGTTGTATCTAATAACTCTGTTGGAATATTTTTTTAGCACACTACTGTTATAAATGAAGACGGCATGATGTGAACATGCATGTGCATAACTTTTCGAGATATGTTTGTCGCCAAACAATTGGATAGAGGGTGTGTCACTGCTGAAAAATGGAAAGTTGACAATAGGAAAGCTGAAATCGAATTAAAGGGGCATTGACTGTAATATTCACCGATTTGACTCAAATTGTCATATTTGATTTATTACATACTTTTAAAAACGAATATCCAAATTACAAAAAGTCAAAAATAAACAATTAACAATGCATGGGCTCGATAATATGTATCAGTATTTCGTGTATATTTCAATCTAGACGCCATACAATTAACCTCCGAGGATTGCCGATGGTCATATAACCCAAAATAAATATAAATATAAATAGATATCGAGCACTCGCAATTGGATTTTAGTAGGTCTTTTTGATTTCATGTTATAGGTTAAAATCATATGTTAATCATCGTTTTTACCTGTATAAGAACGATTTTATGTGGATCGAACCCTTTTTTCACTTTTACTGTTGACATTCTTTTACTTTTAATAGTTGAGTACGCTTAGTACATGCGTAATCATTCCCCAGCTAAGGGATTCGGATTCAATGGATTTTTAATTATTGCAATAATATATCAGCAATGTTCTTGAGCTTATTTTGACAAATTTGGGCCAAACTGACTGCTTATAACGAAATATTATTTCAAAATTCAAATTTCAAAAAAATATTTTTTTTGTCTAAATCGTAGCTAATGCCCTTGGAATTGTCATGGATCCTAGTTTGAAGTCGTCCATCTGTGTCACTATAAAACATTCAGATATGGAACAGACCTTTTAGTTTCCATAATATCATTTATATTACGTTCACGGAGATAATTGTGATGCAAGCATTCAATGAAATGTTGAATGACAGGACATTATCTGTTCACCCTTGCTAACTTGTTTTTGTTCTCAATAGAAGTAGAATTCATATAAAACCCTTTGGTCTTTTAACTTTTTCTATGCGAGCGTCACCAATGAGTCTTTTTAGACGAAACTCGCCTGACGTACAAAATTATAAGCCCGTTATCTTTGATGATTTTTTTTTAGATATTGATAATTATTTGATAAATATTAATTGAGAACTTAACATTATGGCAAAAGAGAAAACTTAAATTTTCCCATAGAGAACTTTCAATTTTTTGTAGCAACATCTTAGTTTATGCCTGTAAATGAAGTATAAATCTGTTAGTCGATATGCTATTTTAGGACTTGTTTCCTATTTTGTTTTCCTTGCTGATATATAGCATTTTTTGTAGTTACAAAACCTTCTATATGTAATGCCATCACCTAAAAATGGTGTACCTGTTGAAAATTGTCAGTTTTTAGACTTTTTGTAATACATTCTACTTACTTCCATGTAAACATAATCAATAGTGGTCACATGATAAAATACCTAAAGTGGTTAAAATGAAGCTTTTTCTTTTGACCAAATTTTCATTAAATGAGTGATAATATAAGAAAACAAATAAAGAAATTCCGAACTCGAAGGCAAATTCAAAGAGGAGAGGTCAATAAAATCTGACAAAATCAAACGCTACTAACCAACTGAGCGAGTGGCAAACAACAGATCAATAACTATTTAGAAGCATCATATATGTACCTTAAAGCTCATCAACTTTTCCCCCTTGCTCCGTGAAATGTTTAAAACATTATTTCAAATAAAAGAAATCCAGAACATTAAAAAGTACTTATAAAAAATGGTATTTGGTAAATATTTATTTTGATCGTAAAACTTTATATATTACAGAATATCGAGAAGCGTTCAATTTGTACGATAAAGACCATGATGGTGTTATATCTACACATAAACTAGGTGTCATACTGAGATCTTTGGGACACAACCCAACGGAACTTGAGATTCAAGAAATGATTGATGAAGTCGATCATGACAGTGAGTAAAACAGCCTAAGAAAGTTTGGTGTCAAAAATGGTCGTTATTGCAATGCCAGGTGTAGATTTTAATTGACTATTGCAAACTGAAATGTAAAAACGCAATTTGTTTGCATACGATTTCATTTACATGAACGCACACATTTTAATTTTTAACTATCACGGGAGTTTGTCTTACATGTACATTACATTATTTTAATTTATTCAAAAAATTAAGAATAATTATTTAATTGATTTATTATTTTTATGGATTTCACTATACGGTTATTATTTTGCTGTGTAGCAAGAAAACAAGATCGGCGATTTTGTTTTATTTTTCTGAAAACTTTCCATGAAAAAATCTCTTCACAAAAAATAAAAAAATTCAAGTTTCATTTCGGTTCACGTGATTTTTTCCCCAATATCTTATTTCTTTATTTTAAAATACTTGTGATTGTATTTTCAAGACCAAACAAGGTGCACTATTACACCGATTACTATTATTTACTTAGTTACTAATCACCTAGAGATAACAAACATTTTATTCTATATATATATGATATGATAATTCACAAAAATCTTAGAAGGATTTAGTTGTAAATATAAACCTAATGTAACAGTATTATACTGATTTTCAAATCTTCTAAATTCATTTAGAAGATACAAGTCACAGTAAACCCCCCCCCCCCCCCCCCCCCCCCAAAAAAAAAAAAAAAAAAAATCGTAAGGAGCGATACCGGATGGGTCGACATGTTAAGCGTCTCCTGCTATGCTTGCATCACCGGTCATGTGAAATCACACTCAAGTCAAAATGTCAAAATCGGCAATAGGACAAAATCGATAAATTTACAGATCAGACGACTATTCTGGTATCTTAAGATCTAAGACCGTGAAACATGTCATAAGTGAGTTGACACACAGACATATAGATTCGGTCAACCAATTAGTGATGATGGTGACCGTAAAATATATTATGAAGTGTCGATTTCAATTCACATATTTTGTAGGAACGGGTTCAGTTGAATTTGAAGACTTTTTAGAGGTTGTGATGAGTAAAGACCTCGATGAAGAGGATCACGAACTAGCCTTAAAAGAAGCGTTTAAAATGTTTGACCGAGATGGTAATGGTTACATTGACGCTGATGAACTTAGATTGTGTATGATGAATCTTGGTGAGAAATTAACATTAGATGAAGTTGAAGAAATGATCAAAGAAGTTGATGTTGATTACGACGGAAGGATGAATTACGAAGGTAAAGCTTTTGGTAATAAAAAGTTGCATCAGAGCAGTTTTAACGCCTGTATATCTGGGTAGAAAAACAAACTACATTAATTTGACACTCATCATATTTACAAATTTATTTGATCAAACATCAAGTTAACAACACACAAAAGAGTCTCAAATAAACCTATGTGGTATTGAAGACGGCATCGAGAACATGTATTGGAGATTTTTCAAAAGATATGTTTCCAACGCTTGCAGGCAAATAACATTTTTCAAACAAACGTTTCAAAGTTATGCGTGATCGTCAGGAGAATTTATGTTTGCCCATGGAAACGCTTGGAATAGATTTGATTGAGGGTTGGATGCATAAACGGTCGTATATAGTTCATACGCACTAGAATGACTTTGTGAGAGTGGACAAGAAACCAAAATGATCTAATAAGTACTAAATCTTTAAAACACATTCTACCCTTGTGAAGATTTTTTTTTCATTAGGAACAGCTTTCATACTTGCAAATGAGCAGGTGCTAATGAACGTGTAAAAAGATTAAGTCAAAAATGAATTTTAGTTGAAAGTTTAAACCGTGATTTTAATCCTGGATTACTATTAATTGAGAGAATCGTCAGAACCCAAATTAATGATAGAATTATGGAATAGTACTTAGACAAATCGAATAAAATTATTCTAAGAATATAGAAGTACTCGTCAAAGTATATAACTTAAAATTTAACTAAAAAGATAAAAACGTATGATATGATTAATGTGCGCACAACACGATTTTCTTTGATATAAACTTCCGTAGGTAGTTCTCCGCTCAGCACCAAAATTAAAGGAAATCCAAATATATTAAACGTTTCAAAGCATTAAAACATCAGAGCATACAGAGAACAGTTTAAACGGATTAAGGGTAACTTTACCCTAATGTGTTGTGACCCAATTTGAAAATTTTCTGTCGATTTCAACATGCGACGGCCTTTTCAGTACAACATATATTTTGTTTTGCCAGTTGTTGCTGAATATAATTAAAATTCCTTGGAGTGCATAATATGATTTAAGGGTAACTAAAATTATTGAATATTTCCTTGTGGTGAAATCTGATTTCCTGGGTGTTTTAGAGTGATAACTGTACAAGATAGATTGTTCTGTAGTATCTAATAAGAACGCGTAAACTATTAGTTATTCATTGTAAATTTCTGCTGAAGAGAAAAACTGAAAAGATAATTTTCTTTTTGAATAATTGTAGGTTATTTTAATATCCAACTGTTATTTTTGTTTAATATTTAGGGACTAAAAATACTTTTCAATCATTTAAAAAAACTGACTGCAATACGAATGAACTTATTATTTCATTAATATAATTATATTGTGGGAGTGCACAAAATCAAATACAACTTTTATATTTTTAACGATTGTATTTAATTATCTTAAATGATGGCAAAATGCTTCAAAATACCAACATATTGATTATGAATAGGAAACAAAACTGCATTACCCGTAAATGAAAAACAAGTTTGAAAATAACAAATCTTGTGTTTTTTTATTGTATGGAATGGTGTTCATAATTTGAATTTTTTTATAGCGATGTTACAGGAAGAAGGAACACAAACTTTATGTACAATTAAAATTGTTGCAGTGATGGTTCGATTTAAATTATTTTTTCTTTACAAAGACACGCATACTGCAAGACCTATTTGAAAGTACCAAATCAAGCGGTTGGCTGACTTGTGTCAATTATTTTCTTTACACAAGTGTTTCTATCTTCCTTTTAATGTTATTCTTAGAATCGTGCTGATCAGTTTATCAGCTTTTGTTATGTCTTAGTTGTTGACAGTTTCTTAGTACTTACTATTAGAAAGGTTTCTGCTTGGCACGTTTGAAGAGGTTAATTATAATACCAAACTGTAGTTCATTATCGAAATGTGTTTTCATTTAATTAATGACAGTAAATCTTTACAGCAAACATTCACGACATTTCTTTTTCTGGCAGCGATACAAATAGAGTTAGTGAATGCAATAATGAAATCTTCGACGCGATATTATGTACAAGCAATGAAGACGGCGTAGTTTCTGTTTCTTTATCAATTAACATAATTATCTATCATTTTATTGCAGAATTTGTGAAGTTGATGTGCACAAAATATCCTTTGATGTGATATTGTTTACAGCAATGTGATAGAAATATGGAATAAAAAGGAAAAGTGCTCACCAGCCAAATACTTCAACACTTTTATTCATGATATACGTGACCTAAGGTCATTAAAAGTTGAACGTCATCTGTGTTGTTCATACACCCAACCGACATAAGAAGTGCCAAACAGTGGGAGATCTTATGAATTGTTTCAGTTTTATGAAATCGTAAATCTGGAAAACATCAATATACATCTATTATAACGAACTATCAGGGAATGTGTTTCTTTAATTGTGTTTGTGTGTGTGTTGCATTCCAGTGCAGCAAAGATTTGAATAAGACAATCTTCTTTTCTTCATATTGCTACCACGTAATGCCTGTTCATCTATATTAACTTTATATTGCCATTTCGCAACATGATGAATGTTAATGTGTATATATGAAAATTTATGCAAGTTGAGCAGATGCGCACAACTGAAGTAAGAATAAAATATTACATGTTTGGTTCGAAGTCGGGACTTTTTTGTACAATTTATAATAAAAAAAAAGCTTTAACATCACACAGCTTGCTATTATGTTTGCACCGCAAAAATAAGTTAGAGCACCTTCCCATCCTGAATAAAACCAGACCCGTGCCTTTGACTAAATAAACTTTTGTCTTGTTTATATATACCCGTCTAGTTGATATCTTGGTAGTGTGGTCACCTTGATCGCGGACGTTTGTGCATTCGATCATCGACGGGTCAAACAAATAAATGTGTTGCTTCACCACCTGGTACGCGACTTTTATGAATAGAAGAGATGGTCGTCTCGGACAGAACAGCTGTGTAGACAAGGGTGACAATGTCATCGAATAGACTGTTACCCTGTGAGCTATAACTTTAAATATTTACACATATATAGAATATATAAATATGTGCTAAATAAAAGCAACAGTAGTATACCGCTGTTCAATAGTCACAATTCGATTAAGCAAAAACAAATCCGGGTACCAATTGAACTACAACAAAAGCTAACGCCAACATACATATTGTGTGATAACTGCCATATTCCTGACTTGGTACAGGACATTTTAAGAAAAAATGGTGGGTTAAACCTGGTTTTATGGCTAGCCAAACCTCCCACTTTAATGGCAATGTTAAAAATACCGCTAAAATGACAACACTACGTGACAGGAATACAGTACAAACAAACTAAATCGGAAATTTAGCTCAACAATGCTAGATTTTGCGTAAGCAAGTGTTTTTTTTCTCCCCCTGCGAGATACGAACCAAAGTTTCTGTTACATCGTGGCAACTCAGCTTGCAATGCTATATATATTTAGATTGATAATTTGATTCATTGAGGACTGCTTAATGTCCAGCAACAAATACCACATGGTTATTCAAGACGATAACGCGATTATGTCGTATACGGATAAGATGAAATGATATCGTAAAAATAGACAAATATTTCGGCACGACAATTTGCCTTTGACAGTGTCAATTTGTTTTTTAAAACATGTATGTGGACATTTTGATGTTTTTGTTTGTCTTCCTTTGTCAGTTATGTTTAAGTTACTTCTTACAAATAAAATCCAACATTTCTGGCATCATGGAACACTGATTTTGATATGTGATCCTATGAGATAACACACCGTTTGTATCAAATAAGCCATATGTTATCAAACTAAACCCGGATTCCTGTCAAGTTTGTTTTTCGTTTATTTTTATTTTCGTCTGAATTACCTCACATGTTGTCAAGTCGGAGTATGGAACGCCAACACTGTCTTGTTATGACCATTTTCATTATATGATGTGCATTTACCTTTAAATGATGTGCAAACACCTTTATATGATGTGCAAACATCCTTATATGATGTGCAAACATCCTTATATGATGTGCAAACATCATTATATGATGTACAAACATCATTATATGATGTGCAAACATACTTATATGATGTGCATATATACTTATATGATGTGCATATATACTTATATGATGTGCTTATATACTTATATGATGTGCAAATATACTTATATGATGTGCAAATGTACTTATATGATGTGCGAATGTACTTATATGATGTGCAAACATTCTTATATGATGTGCAAACATTCTTATATGATGTGCAAATGTACTTATATTATGTACAAAGATCCTTATATGATGTGCAAATATACTTATATGATGTGCAGATATACTTATATGATGTGTACATATCATTATATGATGTGCAGTTACCATTATATTATGTGCAAATATCTTTATATGATGTGGTTGTGTCATTATATTATGTGCTCGTAATCTTATATGATGTGGTTTGGTTTACTTCATTATATGATGTCGAAACGTCATTATATGATGTGCTTTCATCGTCGTTATGGTCAATGAACATGATTACGATTAAAATGATTACTGTCTACGTCATAACTGATTCCGATCTGCTTCTGTAAACTATAAACCCAGCTCAAATATGTGTCTATCGCTAGCGAGAGTGCAATTAATAGGAAAAATGAGATAATGCAATTTAACAAAATCAACGTTTCAAACATTTCGGAGGGAGATTAAGAACAATTAATACAGGAGCTAATTGGAGAAATTTGCGGCTGTGGCGAAAATATGATAAAACAAATTTTGAGGCTCTTTATAGCTTGCTATTTGGGTTAAGCAAATGCTACGTGTTGAAGGTCGTACTTTGACCTATGATTGTTTACTCTTACAAATTATGACTTGGATGGAGAGTTTTCTCATTGGCTCTCATACCACATCTTCTTATTTCTATTCATTGCAAAATGCACCATTGAACTCACAGTCAGTTTTAAAAATATTTCACAACAATAGCTATAAAATTATCTACTCGTGCATAATATGGCGAGATGGTTTATTTTATAAAATGTTATTGAATGATATAAATGGTAAGATGTATAATGTAGTGTTACTCCTACAAAACCATTCAAAGTCGGAAATATTTGTGATATGACGTATACATGTAGTGTTTTGTACTTCCTTAATTTGTCTTTGAAACAATCTTTTTTTCCACAGAAAAAGCCAAAATATCCAAATTTGGAGACCGCATGCTTAGTCCACGTACTGCCCGCGAAATGCGAAATGGTCAGGTTGGGTAATGTTCACATATTTGTATATACAGATTGTTTATTTTCAACTTATTTTAATGGAGATTTTTTTAATTGCTAATAAAATTCTGCAACTTGAGTATGACAACAGATTTGGAGTGGCGTCAACGGTTTCTGAGATACAGAGGGGTTGATTCCTGGTGAAGTGTTTTGGATTTTATTTTTCATCCGATTAGATGGGATTTCATTGTGTACTCATTTTGATTCTTTTCGGTAATGTCAAAGGATTTTACGTAGTTCATACGGTTATTTAGTTAAAAGGAAAAAAAACCACTGAAAATCACACTTTGCCACACTTTTTCAATTTAGGGTATTTGATATTTTTATTTTCCAACAGAGATGAATGGGGTGATGCCCGTCTTTTGCATTATGTTCCTCGTTTTCGTCTCTTTAAAGAAAAAGAATAAAATGCATTAAACGTGTCCAAATCCTTACTGTGTCCACCTTATTACTGTGTCCACACTCTTTGTTTCAACACTTGCCCAATTGTTCCGCGCTTTCGCTGGCATCTTCTAGTAATTATATTTCGAAATACTTTGCTTGCTTGTGACAATGGTGTTCGACAAGGAGTAAACTTATCACCTTTTCTATTTTCTTTACTTTTGATTGACTAAAAAAAATTCTTAGTGAGTAAAAATATTACAGGACTTAACAGAACTATACCAGAAGATCTGGAAAGAGAATTAGAAATATATCTTAAATTTTTTATACCTCCTGACTAAAGACTTTTGAAACCTCTCTCTCTTGTTTTGTATATATTGTAAAGTTATTATTGTTATCTCTGTACTGATGTCATACATTGACTTTATGAGAATAAAGATATAGATTTAGAGGCCATAATTATACCGGTATGGATGATTGATTGATTAATTTGTTGATTGATTTATATTTACCGCCACTTTCAACACTTTCATGCTATTTCGTGGCGGTGAGTTTATATTGGTGGAGGAAGCCGAAGTTCCCAGAGAGACCACCCAACCTTCGTTTGGAAAACTGACAATTCTGGTCAATTAAGATAGGAGTCGAGCTTACCTGCCACATGCGGTATTCGAACTCACACACCTAAGTGATACAAGTGACAAGTGATACAGTAGTTCGTCTATTCACACCACTCGACCAACGAGCGCCCATCTCTTTCGTCCGAAATGCTTTAAAGGAGATATGGAATGAACTTTAACTCGGTGTTTTTCATTTGCTTTCAGCTTTTTATTATGTTTTAGTGCATATATTTCACAACTTCAATATAGATGGTTATGGATGGATGCTTGATGTGCAGCGGCAAATTGATATGCATATTCGTACAAGAACATGTTACAGCTATTTTCCTGATGTATGTAGTTTAAAAGTTTGGTTGGCTTGCTTGCTTTGTTCGTATAAATGTTTGTTCAAGCATTCAATAACATCATACAAGCTGAAACCCAGCCTATCTGTTGATTAGAATTGTAAAACTTAATTAAAATGCATAAGCAAACCGTTATAAAAACAAAGCAATCAAGCCAATCAAACCTTTAAACTACATGCATTAGGAAAATAGCTGTAATGTGATATGAATATTAACCCTGCTTTGTACTAGACCGACACCCTGAGCCGGATTTTTAACATGCTATAGTTCACAAGGTAACTTTCCGAAGGAAGACATGTCACCTTACCCGGACAAATTCTTCTGATTCCGAGCCGACCAGCTTTTGCTCTTATTCCTTAATTTCGCGGGCTTAGCAGGGAAGCAGCAAATATCAATTTGAAAGTCTTTGGATTTGACCCGGCCGGGGGTCGAACCCATGACCTCTCCCACTCTATGCGAACATGCTACCACGAAAGCACCACCACATGCAGTAACCCGCAATATAAAAGGTTTTGTGGGAAGCCGCTCATTTTTTGGTGAGGGGGTGGGGGGGGGGGGGGCAACAGTTTTGGAAAATGTTTGATTCCAAATTTCTTGAAAGAGATTTTATATTTTCAGAAGGGGAGCGAAAGAGTTTGTTTCCATTTTAAATCAGGGAAAAATAAAACAATAATGAAATTAAAAAAAAAATAACCATGTTCTTTTTTATTAAAGTCCATCAAGGAAATACACGTGCTCCTACCCACACTACAGTCGGTGTCTAACAAATGATTAATATATAATGTACAGATCATCTGTCTAAGCTTTGGTTACAAGGATCTGACAACACTTCGTTTTACTTTCTGTCCTGGTTAATATTACATCAGCCAATAAAATTTCAGCCTTCATATTTTTGAAGGTGTGGATCAATCCGACAAAACCAGGGAATCCCAATGGTCTTGAATTGAGCGTTTTCAGATCGGCGTAAGCAAAGGTTGAACACACAATACCTGTAATCTAATCAGATTGGTGTCTAAATGAACTTAAACACTGCATTTATTTATTGTTTAC